TACTTCAGAATGTACTTTAGGAACTTAAACACTGATGTAGATAACTTTCAAAATGATTGCTGTATATTATTCTTCATTAAACCTAGCATGTAAAAATTAAAAGATACTTCCAATGATACCACCCCAATTTTTTTTTTTTTTGGTGGCTGGCTGGTACAGGAATTCAAACCCCTGACCTTGGTATTATAATCACCCCAATTAATATAAAGTAAAATAATTATAACTTTACAACTTTTTCTAAGAAAGCCTACTAAACAGTCGCAAAAACACACTGAATAAACTAAACTACCCTTTTGGTTGGCTTAGCTGGTTAGAGCACAGCCTTGTAACAACAAGGCCAGCGGTTCGGATCCCCATACTGGCCAGCCACCAAAACAAAAACAATAAAAACACAAATAAATAAATAAATAAATAAACTACCCCTTTCATATAAATTTAATAGTAAGGGGAAAAAATGTCTTCCAGACTGTTTCCCCTATAATTCCAGGTAAGATAAAGACTTAAGATCTTTTTACTCTTAAGTAATTCATTTATTAATACATTAGATAAATGTATTGAGCTACTATTTGCCAAACACAGTTCACACTTTCCATCAAACATACATGAATCCAATTGAATGACCAATTTTAAAGTTAATTCAAGACTCTCCAGGATATGGTTCCGTTAATTATGCTGTCCTACACGAAAGTATAAATAAGTGACAGAAAAGTAGCTAAGTATTCAAAAAACATCAATTTTAGACAGCAATATGTTCCTTATACCTTAAAAAGCTCCTTCTTTCTACGTATGTGCTTTTAAATACAACAGGTAAAGACAACAAGTTAACTACTTGAAAAAAATTTTAATTTGGCCCCTCACCTCACACCATACATCAAAAATACACTCTGATAACCTGAAGAACTGACTGAAACTATAAGTACAACAAATTGATGCCATTTCCTCAAGCTGTGCATACAACTGGTGGGTCAGTCACTAATATAAGAGCTTTAAGAAAGCAACAGAAGGGGAAAAGCAAATACTAGGAATCAAAGTGGAGGTAGGAGCAACTTCAGGATCTATAAGACATTTACGAAATGTGATGCTGAAACAGCAAAAAAATGGACTAAACGCTAACAAAAGTTAGAGTCAGATCATGCATTAATTAAAATCCCAGGAAAATAAGCTATGTGGCAGTTTCAAAAAATGTCAGCAAATATTCACTGTAATTAAATGTATCTATCATCATAAAGAAACCAAAAAGAAGGTTCTGATTCTTGATTCAGGCACTCATTCAGGGTGCTAGGTCCTGGCAGAGATAACAAACACATAAGTAGAATAACAGTGGCTAAGTAAGAGATTGCCTGGGTTTAAATCTGAGTTCCACAATTTAATACCTGTGTGACCTTGAGCTAGTTGCTTAACCACTCATCTCAGTTTACTTGTCAGTAAAAACAGTTCTTACCTCATACGGTTGTTTTAAGGATTGAAGGATATGATGCATATAATGCAAGTTAGCACAGTGCCTGGGCACATAGTAATTGAACAATAAATGTTAGTTCTTATGTTACTATTATTTGTCTTTCAGGAGCTCTCAGTCTATCAGCAGAGACAAACAAGATGCTCAATAGTTACCACATAATAGAGGTATGTAAAGAATATTATGGCATCCAGAGTTACTGCCCCCTCTGAAAACATTAGATGGAACTTAGCCACAACAGTGTTATAGACCACATGCTATTTTTATTCATAGCATGTTTTGATCATGACTAAAGACTTCCTATATTAAATACACAATCATGAACATGGTTTACATCATAGTGGAACTAAAAGATCTACATTTCTGTCACTCCTAAAATAAAGATATTCACATAAGCCTAGTATTTTAAACTGATGATGAAAAAAATCCCACGTATTCTATTGTTTTGACTGATAATATTGCACAAAAACCCACAGAAAAATGAACCAGAAAAAAAGAAGTTGGAGTTGAGTTCTAATCTTATAATCTCTACATGCTTAATAATCTGAATTGCAAAATACCCAACTCTAAAACATTCCTTTAACAAAACTAGTAACTCCTAAAATACACTAGATACTGTGTGGAGAGCTGGAGAGAGAATGATGTGCAAAAACATATACTCTTACTTTCATAGGGTTCATGGTCCAAAGGGAAGTCAGATATTATCTTATTAAATTAAAATACAGGGCTGGCCGGTTAGCTCAGTTGGTTAGAGTGCAGTGTTGTTAAGACCAAAGTCAAGGGTTTGGATCCCCATACTGGCCAGCCACCCCAAAAATAAATAAAATAAAATGAAATAAAATAACAATATAACAGGGGAATGGGGAGAAGCTAGGAGGAGGAGAATATCTTTTTCATCCTTAATTCTATATACAAAATTTAAATAAATATTACTAAAAAATAAAATTAATAAAACTGCAGTTTCTAACTGCCTTGGCAAATTGATTTAAATAGTCAATAAAGCAGCTTTTATTATTATTATTATTTTTGGCAGCTGATCCAAACCTGTGACTTTGGTGATATAAGGCTGTGCTTTAACCAACTGAGCTCAATAGCCAGCCACCTTTAGCCTTATTACATGATAATCAGATTAAGATCTGTTAGTTTAAATAGTCTTACAGTCTCTCTATCAATTTTTTGACAAGGAAATATGTACTGTATACACAAATCTACATAAAGACTTAGAAAAACCTGTCTAGACAAACTTTAGGTTGTAATACAATGTAACAATCTGTTACAGAAACATCTTGGTGTGTGAGGAATTCTGTAATATAATAATACCATACAATATGAAATCAAGTTATAGAAAAATAAAAAAGATTATTCAGGACCATAATGATAAGGAAAGAAAGATAGGAAGAATAGAAGGGAGGGAGGAAGGGAAATGAAAAGGTCAGTATTAGGTTTTTCAATTATAATCTAAAAAATATCTGAAGATCCAACTGTACTGTAATATGTAATTTACAAAGCTACAAGCTACATTAAATCTAAAGCTAAAAAGTTTTCAATAGACTAAGCAACAATTACTGCTTTGAAAGAGTTAACCAAAAACTAGATTCCAGCAAAGAACCTTTTGTTCACCTTCTAGAGAAATACCCTTCCCTCCAATTCACCAACACATCCCTACTCTGTATTACTAGCAGGATGAACAATAAAACAACCTAATAAGGGCTAGCCAGTTAGCTCAGCTGGTTAGAGCACAGCCTTTTAACACCAAGGCCAAGGGTTTGGATCCCAATGGCCAGCTGCCAAAACAAACAAACAAACAAACAAAAACCCCAACAACCCAACATAGCACAACAGGCATTTATTAGGAATATTTCTATTAAAAAAAAAAAAAAAAAAAAAAAACTTTAGATATGGAGCTTACAAGAAGACTGTCAAAATTATGTCTTAAAAGAGGCTTGTATTTGAAGTCCTATGATTTCACTCCCCACCTCAGTCAGTCACATTCTTCCAGCTGCTATCACCATGAATTGCAATCACCAATTACATACCTGAATTCCCAATTGTCTCTGGGCAACATGTGCACAGGGAGTGCTTACTTATTCTCTTTTATATCCCAAAGGAGAGAATTTAGGAGGTGTGCAACAAATGTCTGTTGGACTGGATCAAATTAACATAATGACAACATCTCCAATACAGCATATCATAGTAGTTAAATTCCTTTAACATTTCAAATTATGACTGCTACACTGACATATAAAATTACAAGCACATCTGTGGGATTTAAAGTTTATGTAAAATTGCAGTTTACAGAGTATAAGAAAAATCCACTGCCATATAACATCTTGCTTATTTTTTGACCTTAAAGAGGATGTCTTAAAATGACTTCATATTTAGTGTAAATGTTACTAAAAATTCCAGAATAATATGTAGTTTACAGAATCGGTTACCATAATTTGATAAAGAAAAATTGATTCAACTTAACTCCCTTTCAGTGCCTATCCCTCCATTTATTCTAGCTCCTGCCCAAAGGCTGCCTACTCACAAACACTTTAAAGTCTTTTAAAGCCTTCTTTGTAAAGAAAAAAACAGTAGTTGTGTCTAAAAACAATATAAGTTACCAATTTTAGTCATTGGCTATTATTTCCAACTTCACAGCAATCTTAGATTCCAATGGGCAACTTAAGTACTTTAGTATTATTCTGCTAGTCTTATTTCCATAAACCAAAGATTTGTAGGTAAACTGGTAAGTAGGCAAGCTGTTGGCCAAAAATCTGTCTTTATTATAATAATTATAATAAACTTAGCAAATCACAATGTAGGACAATTTAAGAATCCTTGAAGAGGTATAAAATTATAAGACATTGTTACACTAAATAACAAGCTATAATGCCACATGTACACTCTTGTCAGAGGTGCAGAGTGTGTCCAACCACTTCGCAAGTGATGTAAAGACCTCTAGAAAACAAGGAGAAGACCGTCCTTTCTATTTAGTTCTTCCACAGCTGAAAAACTGAACAGGTCGCCTAGGTACAATTCTGGCAAGGTTCTGGGAGAGACCCCTAAAGGGGTCTCCTAAAAGCAGAGTCATTTATTCATTTCCGCAAACTCAGACTAAGTACGATCCCCACCCCACTGCAGGGCCTGCAGAACCGAAATGAATCGGACTCCAAACCCTACTCTCTAGGAGACGTGGGTGAGATGGTGCGGAGGGAGAAGGCACACAGACACTATGATCCTCGTATGCGAGTTTTAAGGTATTGACCGAATCTTTATTTTTTCGCCCGTATCTACTCAGGGCGTCGCATACAGCAGGTGCTCATCAACTGTGTGCTTACTGAATGAATAAATAAATGTAAAATACTAAGACGAGCCCAGGGCTGCGGGTGCACATTCGCCGCGGTCTCCGTGGCCCCAGCCGCCCACTACCACCCGCACCAGATGCGGGCCGGGAGGTCACCCTCTTCTCCTCCGTCGCCTCAAGCGGCAGCAGCATCCAAAGGTCAATTCGAGCCCAGGCCCAGGCTGCGCCATCCCCCCGCCCCTGGGCAGTACTCACCGTTGGTGTAAGGAGACCCTGAGGCCGAGGGGGTCCCGTTCTGGGCCTGGAGCCCGGTTGGGGCGCCGCCAGAGGCCGGTATTCCCGGCTGGGACATGACGAACGGCGATTATCGGGGTTGGAAGGGGCTGGTCGGGGTCGACAACAGCGCCAAGCCGAGAGCTGTAAGCGGAGGGACAGGGCTAACAACTAAGGACTGAAGACGAGGAGAAGAGAGGGCGGCGCATCAAGCACGAGGCATGGCTCCGCACTCGCCGCAGCCCGCCCGCGGCCACGGCCTGGCTGGGAGCTGATGCTTGGGAGTCGGGCCGGTGGGGCAGCAAATGCTCGGCTTGGAGGCGACAGCTAAATCCGGAGAGGAGGGAGGCCCCAGCCGGAAGTGTCTGTCAGCCGCCGGCCGCGCAGGCGCAAACGGGACACGTGGCACTTCCGGCTCCGGGCTCGCAGCCTCCGCCGCTGCTGGCTTGCTGCTCCCTCCCGGTGGGGCTGTCCGGAGGCCACCTGACAGCTGCGGGTGCCCCGGCTCCGAGGATCGTGCCTGGCCTTGCCTGCCACGTCACTGACTCTCACGCCGGCCGGAAGTGGCGTGTGTCACCGCTACGGAAATCCCCGCCGTCGTGAACGTGACCTAGCCCGCAGGGCCGGTGTTGGAACACAATCTGGGCTTCAGTGGCAGGTTTCGTGGGATGGGACTGACAGTTCCTCTTCCTGGGTTTTGTGAAGATTACCTGAGACGACAGGTCTCTTCATCCTCTGTTGAGACTGTACTACCACTGGTAGCTGAACCGGTTAATGTGCATCGCAGTATTTCGTTTCACAGTTCTTCTTCATATTCCAGGTGTAAATAGTAAGGAAATTTTAAAAAGAGGTGGTTAAATATATATTTGTTTTAAAAGTGTGTTCAAGTCGAGGAGGAGGCCTTTGCTTTTTGACTGGAAGATTCTGAGGTAATTTAAATTTTGAAACTTACTGAGTCATAGCTTGATCACGCTAAAGTTCATTAGCAGCACATTTAAATGGAAATTTTATTTGTTCTAAGAGTGTACAGTAAGGTGAAGAGTTCAAACATCCTTTCTGGGCAAGTAGAACTTTTTCCTTTTTTTTTTATGGCAAATAGATTTTTTTTTTTTAACTTTTCAGGCCAAAGGGAAGTAGAAACTGGGGTGATGAGACAACATAATTAATGATCTCAGTAATCATCTTAGCTTCATGCTCTGAACTGATGATAAAGCCTTTCTTACAGGTTTGTACTGTTGATTAAAATGTCATGCCACTGGTTTCACAACCCCGAAGTACGAGTACATCTTATCTAATTCATTTAATATCAAATGCCTGCTATGAAGTGTTATAATACATGCAAAAAGCATGTTTAGGCCACTGTCAGGCCTAAAAAACAAACTGAGAATTCAAATAGCTAAAGAAAAGCAACAACAACAACAACAAAAGAATTCAAATAACTAAATGTTAAATTTTTCTTAAGGCTGTTTCAGGCCTAAAAAACAAACTGAGAATTCAAATAGCTAAAGAAAAGCAACAACAACAACAACAACAAAAGAATTCAAATAACTAAATGTTAAATTTTTCTTAAGGCTGTTTTGTTATCATTTGCCTCAGAAACTTACTAATGTATTTGCTGTGAGTGGAATTCAACAATTAAATTCCTTTGTACAAGATTCAAGTACAAAGGCTTTAGGATGAAGATGATACTTTTGGTCAAACTGTTTTCAGCTTAGTGCCCTGTGACAAAATCCCAATCATATATCTAAGAACACATAAGAAGGTGTGCAAACATAGAGAGAAACTGAAGCTTCATGAGGTCACACAGAAAATCAGGGTCACTCTTCAAAGAGGCAAATGCACAGGCCTGCTCCTAAACTTGGATTAGTTATCTCTTTTTATGCAACTCCTTTTGAATGATCTTGGTTTGTTGACATTGGCACAGGGGTTTGATTTGGTTAAATCAAGCTTTCTTTGGACTGTTCTGTTTAAGCAATATCTGTGTGTTCAGAGATCTTAAAAAGTAGGTAATCTCATTGGTTAAATCAGGTTAAATAAACATAATTTGCTAATAAGTAAACAATGCTTTTTCTAAAATTTGTTCCACCACTGTTTCTTTGTTGCTGTTATTCCCTCCATTAACTACGGTTAAGTCTTTCAAATGTTTTTTTACGTTTTAAATGTAGTCACTTTAAAATATTGAGAAAAGCAGTAGTTATCATCTGCCCACCCTCAGGGGTAGTAGAAAGATAAGTTTAAGTAATTGAGGTGGGACAACATATAAAAAAAGTTAAGTAATTTTCATATTAAGTATTCGCACAATATAAGATCCTTCTCTGACTTCTTAAAACGTGGCCACATAAATGTCATGGAAAAACTATTAGCGTTATATTCAATTGTTAAAATTATTGATATTTCTTTACAAGAGTACTTCAAAAAGTTCATGGAAAGATACCTATTATCTTTCAATTCTGTTTTTCCACAAACTTTCTGAAGTACTCTTGTATCCACTCTACACTACCACACACTTTCCTAAACTGATGTCAGTAACATATTCTACTTTTTAAAATCTTTCTTTTCCAGAACAGGACCCTTCTGCCACATATACATCCTTCATCTGTCCATTGTAAGATTTTCTGCACATTATTTTCACAGACTTCAACCCTGTTTAAGAAAATTATAAACAGCAAAATGAGTTACAAGAAACTGTTTCAGTAAGGAGACAAGCACTATACAAAGAATATTTCATTAAGTTTGATTATTTATGTAGACTCAGGGAGACAGGCATTTCTAATAAAACTTGCCGATATGCAGAAGTGGACTTAGGCTCACACTAGGGCCCCTTTGTCTGCTTGCTCATGACTGTTTCATTGTCAACTGATAAACAGGATCAATTCAGTCTACTTTTCAGGAAGGGGGAAATTATTTTAGGCCCTTTAATTATTTTAAAAAATTTGTTCTGTTTCTATTTCAAACAAACAAACTAGTTTCAATTATAAACAGGTTTGTACAAACAACAGTTTCATTCACTGAAACTCTCTTGTGGGTCCATTTTAGGAACAGATGTCCTGTCGTTTGCCTCTGACAGGACATCTGTTTGTATCTGAAGTCAGCAGCTTGAAGCTACATCACAAGTACATTCATCCCACACCAAGCTAGTAAATCCTATTGTGTCTTTGAAAACTTTTCATTTTTATGTAGTTCTTACCATTCTCCCTGCCCCCTCTGATTAGTTTTCATCATCATGACTTGTACTGCTGGAATAGTCTTTCTAGATTCCCTCTCCCATCCTACATGTTGAATTGAGCTCCTACAATACTGATTCCATTTCTGTTTTCCTATACCACAAAACCTGTAATTGCTCGCCCTTCCTGCTGCATCAAGTTAAAATTGCTCTACATGGCTTTTCTCATCTCATGCTGAGCAAAATCCAAAGTCCTACTCATAGTCTTCAATGCTGGATATGACCTGGCCTTACTACCTCTCCAACCTTATCTTTTTTCCACACTCCCTCTTACTCACTCCACTCAATACATTTGCTATTTCTATAGCTATCCAAGCACAAGCCTGTCTTTTCATTTATTTCCATTACTTGGGATGCTCCTCCCCAAGACATCCACAGAGCTCAGTCACTCACCCCTTCAGACCTTCCTTTGTTCAAATGTTGCCTTCTCTGAACACCCTGTACAACAGCATACCATCCCTGCTTTCTCTCTTTTTTTATTTTCTTCCCTCCCTGCTTGCTCTCTATCCCTCTTACCCTGCTTGTTTCTTCATAGCACTTCTCATCATTGTAATATATTTGTGTCTGTGTTAATCTTTCTTCAATTGAATATGTCTATACATATCCTGTTAATTCTTTTTTTTTTTTTCTTTTTTTTCTTTTTTCGTGACCGGCAACGGATCGCAACCCTCAGTGTCGCGCCCGTACTGGACCGGGACCGGCAACGGGATCACAACCCTTAGTGTTGCGCCCGCACCTTGCTCAGCCAGTGAGCAGCCGGTCTGTATGTGGGATCCGAACCCTTGGCGAGAGCGCCACCGCGCTCCCAAGCGGTGCACTGTAGCAGTGCGCCACCGGGCCGGCCCCATATCCTGTTAATTCTGAAGTAATCATGTTTGTCTCCCTCTTAGACTGTCAGAGAGTAAAGACCAGGGACTGTGTCTTATTCACTTGTGCATTCTCAGCACTTCGCTTGGGACCGCACACTTAACAGGTATTCAGTATTTTTGAATAAATAAATTTGAAGTGTCATGTTTTCCAGTCTTCTATTCTGACTCTTTTGACCCTCATTAATTCACTACTGTAAGCTCCTTTCGCACTCATAGCCTCAACCACATGACTAACAATTGTTTCTAAACTGTGTCGGTCTCTAGTTCTTTTAGGATCTTAACTAGTATGTGCTATGTTGTGTCTCCTTTGATACAGGCCTGATAGTATAGCTGAAATGGTGTCAGCCTCTGGTCAGTCCCTATCTCCCTGGGAAGGGCTGGAGTACAATATCAAATACCAACTCTTCCTTTTGCCTTTTCAAACTCCAAATACCTCCCTCTACCCTGACTCCCTCTACAATACTCTGACACTATAGAATCAGAGATGTGAGGTGTAACTTCCTCTCTAAACCTCCCTTTTCCTTATGACACTTCCTGCTGAATGACCTCACCAACTCCTTCATTCACTAATTCATTCATTTAAAAAATATTTTATTTATCTTTTGGTGGCTGGCCGGTACAGGGATCCAAACCCTTGACCTTGGTTTTATCAGCACCACGTTCTAACTGAGTAAGCTAACCAGCCAGCCCTTAAAAAATATTTATTAAATGCCTTCCAAATGTCAGGCACTGTGCTGGACACCAAGCAAAACAGAACAAGATAGACAAGGTCTCTCCCTTCTGTGGAGTTTACAGTTGAAGGAAACAAAATAAAAATATAAATAAATATTTATTTTTAAGTTTCGAATTTGCTAAGCGCTATTGAGGAATAAGTGCTGAGATAGAGAAAAACAAGCAGGACTCTGGATAGGATGGTTAGGACAGAAGGTCACATTTAAGCTGTGATCAAAAGGATGAGAAAGCTAGCTATGCAAAGGGAGAAGACAGGGAGAAGAAGGAGTCCACGCTTAGGAACAGCACATACAAAGGCCCAGGGTCAGGAAAACTTGCTGTGGTGAGCAAGGCACAGTGGCATGAGATGAGATTGGAGAAGTAGAAGAGGCCAGAGCAATGACAGCCTTGTAAGCCATGTGAAGAGTTTCGGGCTGGCCTGGTGGCACACTCGGTAGAGTGCG